ATTTGAAGACATGGCTTGTTGCATTTAATAATGAAAATGGTAAATAAAGAAATTACCTCACTCGAGGTAAAAGCCACGGTCGTGATTTATTTATTTATTTAAGGCAAACAAACGGCTAAAATAATACATAATTATATACTTAAATAGTAATTTGGTAGCCACTAGAATTTGCACAAAATAAAATACAAGTAAACGAAACACAAAATTAGACAATACTAAATTAAACAAAATTAAACAAATATAAACAAAATTAAACAAACAAATACTATTGAAAACTACAGCAACATTGTCAATAATAATTGCTCAGAAGATAATAAAACATTTTTTCAAAAAATTTCCTCCCAATATTAACCAAAATGGTCTCCCCATTTTTTCTTATGACTGAAAATGAATGAATGGTAACCCCGCCTGCGCTATTTTTTTTTTAATGGATGATAAAATTTATGGTAACCCCGCCCGCGATATCAGTAAACACTGGCGGGGCACCAGTGAGGGATGATAGGTGAGGGTGAAGTCAGGTCAGTTGAATTTGACAATTTGAGCATTTGGCAATAATTAATCACGACGATTTCCAGGTGGAACCGCGTGGAGGTCGACTTGACAGGGTATATTGCTAGCAATGAGAATTAACGCATAGCATTAATTAATAGCTAATTCCTAACTGTTATTACATGAGTGCAGTATTAAATTGTCATTAGCAATAGATTTGGATTGAGATCGATGTTGGATTCAAGAGTTATCCTACTGTTTGTTTGTTTGTTTGTTTTGTTTATTGATTATTATTATTATTTAATTGCTTTCTATTTGTATACAATTAATTAATTTCTTTTGTTTGTTTTGTTTTTGTGTTTTTGTTTCTGCTTGTTTTGTGCGCTGCTGTGTGGGACGCATGCTTCTTCGATTAAATTATTTCTTTCTTTCTTTTCTTCCTTAAACGTCCCCATTACTAGCAATATATACTTATTAGATACGTAGACATCAATAAAACATTCGTTACAGGCTGAATCATCGAAACTTATGATTGGTCCAACCGACTGCAGTGCCAACATAGCAGTACATACATACATGTTTGTAATTTAAGGAAAACTTCAACAATAACAGAATATTCCTCTATTATTATTATTAAACAGTACCTATTATTAGTAGGAATTATATATATATATATATATATATATATATATATATATATATATATATATATATATATATATATATATGTGTATATATATGGCAACACTTCTATAATTCTGGCAATATCAAATCCATTATGGATATGATAAGGAAGAATTTATTTATTAATTAAAAATAAGGAACAAATGATTCCGTGAAGCAGTTGTGTTTGCATGGCTGTGTTTCGGTTTGAAGGGTGGGGTATGGCAATTAATTTACAGAGTACACAGGAATAATAACTGAGTCCACAGGAATAGCAACGCATGGGGGGTATCATGGGCGAAACAGTATACTCTGTTATGTCCATACTACTGCTCATGTCTATAGGCGACGGTTACCACTTTCCATCAGGTGGGCCGTCAGCTTGTTTGCCATTCTAAGTTAAAAAAATAGCTTACATATAATACAATTTTGAATAGAAATAACGAATAATTCGGCTGTATGGTTTTTTTTGGCAAATGTGAAAACGATTCATGGCTTAACATAGATATAAATTTGATATGTAATGACTGTAATTAAGCTGTACGTTTTCTAAAAAAAAATATATAAATAAAAAATAACCACCATTGAAAAAACCTCAGTGGTATTAAAAAAAAAAGAGAAAACAAAGCACAGAGATAACACACGATAACTGATACCCTTATTTTTTTTTATAAAACAGATAAACAATCAGGGTCCAAATTCTATTAGCGTTTATGTAGAAAACTAGTTACCAGTATTTATCTATTCGATTATCAACAAGATAATTTGTAGATAAAACCAAATATTAAAAAAAAAAAATTGGGTGAAATCATATTCGTTAGCTGTATGTAAAACAATAGTAAAAAAAAAAATAAGTATTAATTTAATAAGTATTATTCCTCTGTACCCTGTAAATTCACTGCCATATCCCACCCTTTAAATCGAAACACAGTTTTTTTTTATACAACTTACAATGGTAAACAAGCTGACGGCCCACCTGATGGAAAGTGGTAACCGTCGCCTATAGACATGAGCAGTACCGTGGACATAACAGAGTATACTGTTTCGCCCATGATACCCCCTATGCGTTGCCATTCCTGAGGACTCAGGTGTTATTCCTCTGTACCCTGTAAATTCACACTATGCAAACACAACTGCTTCACGGTAGAAACATACGAATGGGACAGAAATCTGTCTACTATCTATAATCTACTCTAGATTACGCATGAACTATATCAAGAGTATACTAGAAATACAAGTATATTAAGGATAAAGCCATTGGTGCTGTTCATGTCCATTGGTGATGGTTATCACTTTCCATCATCTTATTTGCCATTCTAAGTGTTATGAAAAAGCCGGTAAGTGCGAGTCGGACTCGCATATCGAGTGTTCCGTACAAAATTTATTTATTTAACTCTTTATTGCACCATAATCAAAAATATACAATGACAAGTGAATAATTCAAGTGAAGTACAGTAACATAAATACAGATTGAAATATACACATAAAGGTGCAAAAAGCGGTCTTATCGCTAGGGCAATCTCTTACAGACAACTTTTGGTGAAAAGGGAACTCATCAAAATCAAGTTTTTTTTTTTTTTTTTTTTAAAATAACTGCATATTTACGGTATTAAGATTTTGTCTTTTACTTGTGCTTTATGGCATTGCTTCTTGCCAAATTTCACGATTCTAAGTTAACGGGAAGTACCCTATAGGTTTTGATTATTTTTACAAATGTCAAAATATGCGATATAAATAGAACATAAACGACCGTGTCTTTTTTATTGCGTCGATTTAGAAGCTCGATTGTTTCACTGCTTTAAGAGATTGCAGGCCTAAGTATATGATATTAATTTCAACTTGATACTTCCACGCGTTCCTAAGAAAAAGGGTCTCGACAGACGGACGGAAGAACAACGAAGTGATCCAATAAGGGTTCCGTTTTCCCTTTGGAGGTCCGGAACCCTAGAAACAATATTAGTATTCAGATGTTAAAGTGACACGTAACTGACATACGCTAACAAAGTATGTCAACCGAAACAATTTGGACTTCCAATGCTGCCTTGCAATAACAGAATAATATAAGATAGATACTCTTTATTGTTCCCTCCAAAAGATTACAATAGTAAACTTATTATAAATATAAACAATTACAAGAAATAATCACAGTGAGAAAACAATGGGCGACCTTATCGCTAAGAGCGATCTCCTCCAGGCAACCTTTGGATGAAGAGGAGTAATAAACAGTTTGTTCGGAGGCACGATGAAGATCCTATTATTTCTAAAATATAGAGATACATGTAATGATGTAAATATATATACCTACCTACATATTATATATTATATCCGTACTTTGTCTGGAATACGTTTAATTAATGTGAACCATATAGCAATGGCTTTAAGTTCATTTTCATTACGCCACAAATATGTCAAAAAAGATCTAGCAAAAATATCAAACCTAGACCTGTTCGTAGAAGGCGTGAACCGAATACTACGAGGTTAATCGAGACACGGCGCTAGACGAAAGACCTTGAGTCAACAGGTTGCTTGTTTGGCTGCATTTTTATGCAGTGATAGCTAATTCTCAAGTAAGTAGTTGTGTTTGCATGGCTGTGTTTCGGTTTGAAGGGTAGGACATGGCGTGAATTTACTGGGTACGGAGAAATAACACCTGAGTCCTCAGGAATGGTAACGCATGGGGGGTATCATGGGCGAAACAGTATACTCTGTTATATCCATGTTACTGCTCATGTCTATAGGCGACGGTTACCACTTTCCATCAGGTGGGCCGTCAGCTTGTTTGCAATTCTAAGTTGTATAAAAAAAAAGTTATATCTCAATTTACCCTGTCAGGTCGACTTCCACGCGGTTCCCCCTGGAAATCATCGTGATTAATCTGATGAATTCGTCACGATAGGCTAACAATCAATGGTTACATTCCCACCTATTACCACTCACCAATGCCCGAGGGAAGGGATTGTTAGTAATGGAGACTAAGGGCCCAATTGCTAGCAATGTCTTCAACCAGGTCGACCTCCACGTGGTTCCCCCTGGAAACCATCGTGCTGAATTCTAGGTGTATTAATCACAACGGGCCAACTGACCTGTTTTTTTTAATTTACACTTATGTGTCTCTCACTGGTGTCCCGCCGGTGTATACCATTACCACGGACGGGGTTTGTTGCCAAACATAAGCCTCCCCCTAGGGGATTTTCCAGTAATTGCCACGTTTGACCGGCGGATTGGCAACCAAAGTTAGGCTTTGAAGAAGAGAGACGCTACTACCCACCCCTTGCCCTCCCTTAGTCGCCTCACACGACAGCCATAGGAAAAAAAACGGTGGCCTATTCCGAGACCACACGGCCATTTCATTGTCATCTATTAAAAAAAAAACTCACCGGTGCCCCGCCTGCGCTATCGGTATACACTGGCGAGGCGTCAGTGAGGAATGATAGGTGAGAATAAAGCAGGTCAATTAGCCCACGAGGAGATCGACCTGACAGGGTATATAGCTAGCAATGGGGCTACTAACCCCAATTATTAGGGGGGAAAGGGATTGTTAGCAATGGAGTTTGACAGCCCCATTGCTAGCAATATGCCCTATTAGGTCAACCTCCACGTGGTTCCTCCTGGAAAACATCGTGTACAATTTGAAGTTGAATTCGTCACGATGGGCCAACTGACCTACTTCATCCTCACCTATCATCCTTCACTGGTGCCCCGCCAGCGTATCCTGATAGCGCAGGCGGGGTTACCATTCCATTATCACCCATTAAAAAAAACCCCAATTATTAACAATCCCTTCTCCCCCCTCTATATGGTGTAACATGTACGTATTGCATGGCAAACGGCAAAGCGTGAGCACTTACCTCGTCTAATACCACGCACGAGTATTGCATCAATAGGGGGGAGGCAAACATCTCCCGCAGTAGCACGCCTTCGGTCATAAACTGGAACATAAAAACGTTTTATGTGAGCGGCACAGTATATTTTACGACATTCACCATATTCTTCATAATGTTGTGTATTTATTTCATTGAGTATGTTCTTTTTTTATGCTTGGGTACCTCTGTCCCATTCATGTTTCAACCGTAAAGCAGTTGCGTTTGCATGGCTGTGTTTCGGTTTGAAGGGTGAGATATGGCGAATAGGCGATAGGGCGAATATGGCGATAGGGTGAATTTACTGGGTACAGAGGAATAACACCTGAGTTCTCAGGAATGGCAACGCATGGTGGGTATTATGGGCGAAACAGTATACTCTGTTGTGTCCATGGTACTGCTCATGTCTATAGGCGACGGTTACCACTTTCCATCGGGTGGACCGTCAGCTTGTTTGCCATTCTAAGTTGTATAAAAAAAATTTCTAAATTCTATTTTGACTTAGAAAGAACGATACTAAAAAAGATCGTTTTTAACGTCAAATTCGTGGAAACAGATTTAGAAACAGAGAAATAATAACATTTAGGAGCCGTTTCAAAAATAACACAAATATGCGACACAAACATTTTATTATATATGTAAATATAGATTGTGGAGGTCGTTGACCTATATGTAAACGGGTGATACATTTTAAAACTGCGTATCGACCATTTTAAAAGTAGAACACTTGGTACCAAGTATTTTTAGCCGACTTCCAAAGAAAGGAGTGTAATATTTTTAAGGGTCATCAAATAAAACTCTATTCAGTGACATTTTTTTGGTATTTAACACTCTACTTAGTGGGGGGAAGGGATTGTTAGTAATGCGCACTACCAGTCCCATTGCTAGCAAAATACCCCTGTCATGTCGACCTCCACGCGGTCCGCCCTGGAAACCGTCGTGCTGAATTCCAGGTGTATTCGTCCGTATGGGTTAACTGACCTGCCTTTTCATTCTCACTTATCATCCCTCACTGGTGCCCCGACAGCGTATACCGTTAGCGCAGGCGGGGTTACGATGGAAAAAGAGACTACCATTTTATTGAGCCAATGAACATATTATCCTGGTTATAAATGCAAGCAGCTCAGAACAGTTTCTTATAGCAGTCTTTAGGGGAGGTCTATGTCCAGCAGTGGACAGATAATGATTGAGAAGGTGATGAAATAATAGTAAGTCAGATAATTCCAAAATCATATAGCATTTTCGCTGTATGGTTCCGGCATAAAACGTGCCAACCCTTCCTTGCTCGTGGGTGTCGTAACAGGCGACTAAGGGAGCATAATAGTCAAAGGACAAGCAGCAGCATCCCTCTTTAAACATCACCAAAGCTTTACAGCGGTTGCCAATCCACATGCCAAACGTGGCAACAACTGCCAAAACCCCCCAATCTTTCTTTATACTGATTTGACTGGTCTGGTAGTAAACAGAATTATTGTAGCGTACCAATTGGGGGAGTCCTATGCCCTGTTATGGTGATGATATCATCATATTGATGATTATCATTTTTTGGCAATTGTGTGAAACTGGCAAGTGTGTGAAAGTTAGAATAGAATTGTAAAATAAACATTCGAAACCTTGTCTCAATACTACTTTCACAAACAGTGCGGCCCGCGAGCGTAATGCTGTTAAGTATTCTACGCTCGTTAAAAGAATTATAAGTAAATACCTATTACATCTCCGATTTACCTAAATAAGATGTTCTTACGAGAATTTGGTAAACAAACTGACGGGCCAACTGTTGGAATGCGGAAACCGTCAACTATAGACATGCACCACGGATATTTCAGAGTGTACTGGCGTTTTTCTTTTTTTTTTATGGGTGATAATGGAATGGTAACCCCACCCGCGCTATCAGTATGTACCAGCGGGACACCAGTGATGGATGACAGGTACGAATGAAGCAGGTCAGTTAACCCATCATGACGAATTCAACAAGAATTGTTCACGATGATTGTACACCTCTGTCCTATTCGTGTTTCTACCGTGAAGCGGTTGTGTTTGCATGGCTGTGTTTCGGTTTGGAGGGTGGAATATGGCAGTGAATTTATAGGGTACAGAGGAATAACTTGAGTCCTCAGGAATGGTAACGCAGGGGGGGGGGGATCATGGGCGAAACAGTATACTCTGTTATGTCCATGTTACTGCTCATGTGTATAGGCGACGGTTACCACTTTCCATCAGGTGGGCCGTCAACTTGTTTGCCATTCTAAGTTGTATAAAAAAAAAATTTACTCACCACAATCCCCGTCTGAGGACTCCGCACCGAGGTCATGGCCGCAGCGTAGCCAACATGCTCGCCGAGCCGCTCGCCGCGCTCGTCCGCCACCCTGGCCGCGAGCGACACGGCGGCGGCGACACGCGGCTGCGTCACACACACTGTGTGACCTATCTCATACAGATACTGTAACAATGCAATGTGTGTGCATTGTTATGCATTTTTCATTTATGTCAATAAAAACAACCATTTTAATTTAAATAAATTAAAATAACTTTTGGTTTTGTCACAACTGAAGTCGTTTTTTAGGGTTCCGTATCTCGAAAGGAAAGAACGGAACCTTAAAGGATCCCTTCGATGTCCGTCCGTCTGTCAATCTGTTAAGACCCTTTTTCTTAGGAACGCGTGGAGGTATCAAGTTGAAATTAATATCATAGACTCAGGTATGCAATCTCTTAAAGCAGTGAAACAATCAAGCTTCTAACTCGATGCAATCAAAAGATACGACCGTTTATGTATGCGATACCATCTGTATCGCATATTTCGACATTCGTAAAGGGAATCAAAACCTATAGGGCACTTCTCGTCAACCTAAATTCATAAAATTTGGCAAAAAGCAATGTCATGTAACATAAATAAAGGAAAAAATCCGAAAACCATAAATTTCACAAAAAAAAATTAAACTTGATGATTTTGTGCGAAACCCTCGTTGCGCGATTCCGATTCGCACTTGGCCAGTTTTTTTTTTTTGTGAAACCCAAATTTAATTACACAGGAGAGCTCTTTTAGCTTAATAAAATCTCTGTTTCTATTATATATATATATATATATATATATATATATATATATATATATATATATATATATATATATATATATATATATATATATATATATATATATATATATATATATATATATATATATATATAAAACATTACTAATATTTGTAGCGAGTTATTTACAAACATTTCCTGCTTATTTCACAGATATTAATACTCTGTTGATTCAACCCTCCACCGAGTAATGTTTAATGCACAACCGGACCTATGCAATGCATTATATTATATTTCATATTTTATAATACTGTTAATTCTTTATTGAACACAAAAGGTCGTTGAAATAGAAAAAAAACCAAGCATATAAAACTGTAAAACTAAATAAAAAAAATATATAAAACTGACAGTTCATTAGTAGTTAGTCACACATGTGTACCAATCGACTTAAATGTTACAGTTAAAAATAAATAAATAAAATGTATTTACAATTGAAAACACGTATACAGTCTTGTCGAATTCTTCACGATGAGCCAACTGATCTGCCTTCATCCTCGTCTATCATCTATCACTGGTGCCCCGCCAGCGTATACCGATAACGCAGGCGAGGTTAGCATTCCATTTTCACCCATTAAAAAATAACCAAGGTCCCAGTGAGAGATGATAGGCAAGGATGAATGTAGGTCAGTTTTTTTTACACTATACTGTTATGGCGGCAACCAAACATACAACCCGTCTGATGGGGGGGAAGGGATTGTTAGTAATGGAGACTAAAAATCCCATTGCTAGCAATATATACAACCAGGTCGACCTCCTCGCGGTTTCACCTGGAAACTATCATGGTTAATTCCTGATGAATTCATCATGATGGGCTAACTGGCCTGTTTTCATTCTCATCTATCACCCTTCACTGGTGCTCCGCCAGCGTATCCCATTAGCGCAGGCGGGGTTACTGTTCCATTTTCCACCCATAAAAAAAGCCACTACTAAATCCCTCCTCCTCCCTCCTCCAGGTTAAATCCAAACGTGTTGGCTGTGACGTCAACCTGCAGACTGTAACGACATGTTAATTAATTGTTATTTTTAATTAACACGCCACGGTCGCGTCATTATTTAACACTAATTGTTTTGGGAGTTGGTAGTTATTCATTTTGTGAAGAGAGTTAATTGAAATTTATTCGATCAATTTCAAGGCATCCAGTCTATTTTTTTTTTAATTCCGACTCTTTAAAATGACTAACGAAATGCTTTCTCACTGTATTGGGTCGACTGGTAAGATCTCTGTCAGAGATAAGTCTACCCTTGCTCACATTTATAAGTGCATTATTTTATATGTAACTTACAAGTACAATAAAGTATATATATATATACTAGCTGACCCCGTAAACGTTGTTTTACCACTTATTGCGAAATATAAAAATCGCGATTAAAAGAAGTTGATCGTAAAATGATGAAAATTTAAAGTTGTGTGTATTTTTCAATGCTAAATCATAATAAAATAAAAAAAGAAAAATTTGTTAAAAAAATAAAAAAATATTTTTTTGGGGAGGGTCACTCTTACCATTGAGGGTTATGAAAAATAGATGTTGGCCGATTCTCAGACCTACCAAATATGCACACAAAATTTCATAAAAATCGGTAAAGCCGTTTCGGAGGAGTTTGGTAACAAACACCGTGACACGAGAATTATATATATATATATATATATATATATATATATATATATATATATATATATATATATATATATATATATATACATTTTCGTTTTTGAGATCAGATTTCAGTGTTGACAACTGGATCATCATATTAGCCTTCAACTGACATAAACCTTTCCTATACACTGCCATAAATAACGGTCCCCAGTCACCTGCATTCACGGACTCCTACATAAGCATTTAATATCGTCACTCTATCCGGGAAGGGAGTCGTCCTACACTGCGTTTGATTGTACAGAGTCGTCATCTAAGACCCTTTCTTTTTCTTCTGAAATCAATACGTACGAAATAACAGGAAAAATACTAGTTTACACAATAAAGTTTCTTTCAGACTTAGATATAATATATATATATATAAACTATATAACAGATAAAAATGTCTCAATACAAATGCTTCGTGAAAAGTGGATCATTTTCATACAATTTCGCGTGATAAATAGTTATAAATGATTCCTTTATAACTTCTATATATCTTTATAACTATATATTTATTTTATTTTCTAATTTTTGCATCTTTTTAATAAAAAAACTAATTTTATTTAATAAATAATTAAATATAGATACGTCAAGATACATTATGTGCGTAAGTATACAGAACACTGATTGAAAAAAAGTCGACTCGTTTTTGAGATTCGATGCTCTCTATCTATAATCATGTTTCAACCGTGAAGCAGTTGTGTTTGCATGGCTGTGTTTCGGTTTGAAGGGTGGGATATGGCGTAAATTTACTGGGTACAGAGGAATAACACCTGAGTCCTCAGGAATGGCAGCGCATGGGGGGTATCATGGGCGAAACAGTATACTCTGTTATGTGCACGGTACTGCTCGTATCTATAGGCGACAGTTACCATTTTCCATCAGGTGGGCCGTTAGCTTGTTTGCCATTCTAAGTTGTATAAAAAAAATCTAAGTTTTCAGCGTTATGTCCCTAAAATCTCAAGGTTTACTGTCTTCTAAATTTCTATTATTTATTAACCAGAACTTTCAATAGGAAGTTGTATGTTTCAAATGCAGCGAGAAATAACTTGGACGGGCGCCAGTAAATATTCGCATTACAAAAATGTGGGTCGAGCACGCTCTTCTCGCTATAACACGAGTGGTAGGAATCGGGTTAACCCGATGACGTCATAGGATAGGGGATACACTTAATGGGGACATGTTTCACATTATATAAAATTGCAAATGAATGCAGTAAACGTAAAGTGGGGGGGGAAGGGATTGTTAGTAATGGAGACTGAGAATCCCATTGCTAGCAATATACCCAACCAGGTCGACCTCCTCACAGTTAATTCCTTGTGAATTCATCATAATGGGCTAACTGGCCTGTTTTCATTCTCATCTATCAAGGGGAACACATAGTAATGTAATAGTTAATTAGTTCTTGATGTGTTCACGATTGTAATCGTGAGATAAAGACATGGAACCAAAGAAGAGAAGAATAGACTTAATTTGCTTTGAATAGGTTCTTATTTAATAAGTAGACAGTACCATATTTAGCTAATATTAAGCATGCAAATTATGTGAATATAGATTTTTTTTAAGTTATAAATAAATTTATATTTATAAAATTGTTATATTATTATAATTATATAAAAAAATAACAATAATAATATTTCTTTATTCATAGATTAGAAAAGATCCATTCTTGTTAGTAACAATTGGCTTAAACTATGTTAGTAGGAATAAAAAGTATACAAAATTCATTTTATGGCCCCTATAATGATTTTGACCCACAGTGAGAGGATCGGGCTATCGTATTTATTACATAATGCCCTCAGAATGCTGTTACTGCTGCCATTTGTTATTGATTGTTTATAATTTCATTTATGATATCAAGACGAGAGATGGAGAGACGTTTTTAAGAGGGACGCTGCTGCCCATCCCTCGCCTTCCCTTAGTCGCCTCTTACTACGCCCACTGGAAAGGAAAAGGTGGCCTATTCTATACGGCATAGAGCATGTTTACCTTCTATTAAAAATACAAAAAAAATCACAAATATTATGATTCGGTGGCTTTTTTTGTCAAATTGACTTTTTAGTTTGCCGTTAGCTTTGAATGCAATAAAACCATACAATAACAGTTGCTTGTTCACGCTCAGTGGTCATGGCGTGAAGGTTGTAGGTGGTATATAAAAATATGCATGCAAAAAGTTCGCTTTATCTATGAGAGGCGGGCATTGGTGCGGCCGTGGGTGGTGTGATATCGAATTGCGCTTATCAAACATCCTAATAATATATCTATATATAAAACAAACATATATATAAAAATAACAAACAGCTATGTTGACAACCATCGTTGCAAAATGGTATTTTTTTTTTAAATTTAATGATAATGGAATGATAACTCCGCCTGCGTTAACGGTATACGCTGGCGGGGCACCAGTGAGAGATAATAGGTGAAAATGAAAGAGCAGGTCAGTTAGCCCGTCGTGATGAACTCTACAAGGATTATCCATGATGATTTCCAGGGGAAACCGCGTGGAAGGCATATTGCTAGCAATGGGGCTGTTAAGACCCCATTACTAGCAATCTCTTAACCCAACAATGGGAATTAGAGCCATCGCATTACTAGTAATAAAGGTCGACCTGACAGGATATGTATTTGCATTTCTGATGAATTCATCACGTTGGACCCAATATCCTGACTTCATTTTCACCTATCATCACTCACCATTCTATTGAAATGTAAAATC